TCCAAGCACAGTAGAAACTAACTTCCATTGGAGAGAATATGCTTTGATAATTGGATCACGTTTTATACTTGCTTCTTTATTATGTTAGAGATATTTAATTGTAGCATAGAGTTATTGTTCATTTATGTTGTGCTGTGTGACGCAACACTGAAATTTCCCCACTGTGGGATGAATAAGGATCTTGGATATGAACTTGGACATTTTTTGCTCTTTAGATTTGAAAGAAAGTGAGTTCATGGGTTCAAGGCCTGACTTCTGTTTTTAGTGGATTGTTGTTAGAATGTTTCTCTTGTGGCCTTTTTGATCCATTCTGCAGTGGATTATATTTTAGTAATGGACCCCATGAAGCTACAGTAAGTACTTCACTTTGATGGAAACTATGGGGGATTCACATGAAATAACAAAACAGAATATTTATTAAAATCATGGCGTTTTTTCTCACAGTAACAAAAACATTTGTAATCACACGACCCCTCGATCTAAAATTGGTAAACAAGAAATTGATCTGTTTATTCTCAGAACGCCAACTTAGATTTCTGTATTAGGGTCAGACGGTCTGTAAAATCGTGACATATTTTTTTTTGATTGTTTTTGACCAAACAAACAAAGTAGAGACTAAACGGCCGCGGCGCCATCGGCTGCAGCGGAACCAGTGGACATGAAAACGGGATGTGAGAAAGTGTAGTCACCTGCTTCGCCTCTGAGGGCCTTCTCCACCGCGACTCCCCTCTCCTCCAGCTGCCTCTGCTTCTCCTCCACCTGCTCCAACTGCCTCTGGATGATCTGAAGCAGCAGAAAGACGAGAGTTACACACGTGGCGTCTCTGAAGTGAGCCAAAGTACCGTGTAAGCATTCTCAGATACGCAACTCATTACTACCCATACTCCCCTGCATGCTTTAAGAGCCCATCTGGACGCTATAGCTTCATTGATGAAACAATTTGCCCTAATTATGGGAATAAATATCGAGAGGCACGAGTAATTAAAAAGCTACTGGATGTGGATCAGATTCGCGATCCGACTTTGACCAATAAAACTGGTGTTAAAATAAAAGCACACCTAAAGAGCTGCAGCCGGTGCTAATCTTCATTATGATGTTGATCAGAGTCAACAGAGTGGTAATGTACAAAATAACTAAATGTCTAATGAGAAATGCAAATTACACTAAATGACCATTGATGAAAGAAGAGCTTTGTCTGGAGATTACACACATGCTATTTCTGCTAGTTAAAGGTGAGGTCCGTAACTTAAACTGTTTTGTATTTTACAAAGAATGTATATTTCATTGGGAACTATGGTTTAATATGTACAGTATCCCTCCTCTTGGCACGATTTCAACCAGTAAGATTTTCTGGAGAAGAGTTAAACCAATGTCAAGAGGCCTGAAGGATTTGAATTAATTTCGACCAATCAGGAAGCAGCAAGAGTGTGCTCCATACGTTACATACGGTCATGATCAATACATACATAATGGAAAGAGAGATGGACGGGTCTAACCAGTGCTTGTTTCATTCTCTCTCGTCTTAATTAGTAAACATGCATTTCCATCAGAGTTAAATACAAGATTTTAATTCCGGAAAAAATATGAATAAATGTATTCATAAGTATTTTTATTGTGACAGTTCAGGGTTTGTTCTTGGGATTGGCTATCATCAAAAATACTGTGCGTTATGTAAATTGTACACATGACAAAAGTCTTAAAACTAAAATGAATCAATCTGGTAGATCTATCCGAAACATTCAAGTCGATAAAGGTCTAAATTCTCCCTTTAAAGTTTTTAAAGTAGACTGAGCTTATATCAGTGACATGCAGCAGGGGCCAAACAACAAGTTGTGTTTAGACTCTTAAAATAGCAGCTAAAAACACGCACACACTCAGGCCAGCGACCCACAAAGTCCAGGATGCTGGAGGCAGAGTGCTGACTCAGGACCGGCCGACTGCAGAGGTGCAACATCCATCACAGTGGATTTCAAGACTACAGGAGGATTTGGACCACAGCCGAAGCCACGTTACTCTGACCATAAGCTCAGATATATTACTCAGATATTACTGATATATTACTCAGATATTACTGATATATTACTCAGATATTACTGATATATTACTCAGATATTACTGATATATTACTCAGATATTACTGATCAGATATTACTGATATATTACTCAGATATTACTGATATATTACTCAGATATTACTGATATATTACTCAGATATTACTGATCAGATATTACTGATATATTACTCAGATATTACTGATATATTACTCAGATATTACTGATCAGATATTACTGATATATTACTCAGATATTACTGATATATTACTCAGATATTACTGATATATTACTCAGATATTACTGATCCGATATTACTGATATATTACTCAGATATTACTGATATATTACTCAGATATTACTGATATATTACTCAGATATTACTGATATATTACTCAGAATAAGGGAGGGAAGTGAGATCTGTGGAAAGGTCCCACATTCACACTCG